CTCTTTGAAACATTTAACTGTTCGGTTCTCAGAGAAATATTAATATTTTCTTAAACAAATGGAAAGTAATGAGAATTTGGTTTCTAAACACAGAAAAATGGGACATAAATAGAAACAAAAAGTAATTTAAARGAGACATGCTTTTAAATCCTTTTTCTCATTTAAATCATTCAGTTGGGGTCTATATAAAGTGGAACTGCAATRCTTTGGTTTGAATTCCTCCTTACTGTAACTCCACAAGCACCTCTCACTATTTATCTGAGGTGTCTCAGATCAACTCGTTTTGAGGCTGCCTCTTTAAATCCAAAAGAGGGGCTTCATCCCCCACCCCTCCTAACCTGATTAAAAAATATGACCCAAATAAATTAGAAAGATATCTWTGYAGAACCAGGAGAGACCAAGTTAAACTTTTCTGTTCTCCTAAWGACTCCAAGTTCAAAASAAATGCATTTAACAGCTAACAAAGAGGATTTTGCAGGAYACGTCCCCTTTAAGAACGAGTCTTGCATCATGCCAGACGTTTGTGCTCCTGCTCACCTCGATGAGGAAGAGGCTGGCTGCAGAGGTTGGGTGGTGGTACACGTAGACGGTGATCAGCACGCCGGCAATCATGACGAGCATCACCAGCAGGATGCCCAGGATCAGACCGGTGTGCAGAGGATGAGAGCCCGGCATCTTGTTGACAGCACTGTCAGCTGGTATTACTGAAAACAACAAAATAGCAACARCTTTGTTTAGTTGAACAAACTGAATTAAAAAAAAAAATCATTTTGTTCACTGCAGTTGTCTTAGTCACCACCAGGGTGCACTCTTCATTTATTGATACACACAATTTGTTCTGAGCGCCTTAAATTTTCTAATTTCAATACAAAATTTATTAGAAATTTTCATTTTAAAACAATGGCATCACAGAAAATCATCTCATTCAGCCACAGATTAAAGGTAAATGGTACCTTTCAATAGCTTCAATCGCTTTTTGTGTCAGAATATGTTCATTGTCACATTTGTCTTGTTCAATTCTGAGATTCGTTTCAGTAATCAACAACACTTTTCCTCTCTGACGTGTGTGTGCATATCATCAAAGCCACACCAGGTTTAGTTGTGCAAGATCCAGATAAGAGGAGGAGAGCAGATCTATAGATGCTGATAAAAATCACACCGTGGCCTTCAAATGCTGGACTGAAAACTGAGGAGGCTGTATGCAGCAACTTGATAAATATGTCCTCCTGCAAGCCTGGAAATCCTGATAAGTTCGGAGGGAACTTCAGATTCATTTGAAGCCCACTCTTCACCCAGCAGGTGTTGTGATAAAGAGCTCACRGAGACGATAGCGGCGTCCTGTAAAACCTCTGTTTTCAGCTTTGGGGGGAATCATTTCAGGAAAAAMGAGAATTTCAGACAACGTTCTGCATCCCTGATTGTATCCAGGTGAAAAGTAAAAATTTAATGTCAACCTACAGGTTGTTACAGCAGGTTCAGGTCATATCTATTCATATTGCTGTGTGGACTCCCCCTCCTGTGCCCCCTGACAACCTCTCCTCGGGCTTCTCTCGGCTGTTAATTAGCAGCCGTAGGCAGCACTGAGCTTGTCAGCCAACCAGCCTCTCCCCTGGCTTCCTGCCTCATTGATTTCTACCAGACAGAACAACTGAATGGTAATCAAACCTGTTCAATGTGTGAGAGCAGTCAGCGGGAATCTACACCTCTGTGTAACCATTATGTGCACACAGTGACAGAGAAATAATGAGAATATTCTATGGATAATTAGTTTGGCTGGAACTAAAACAACTGGTTGCCTTCAGTGGACATAACGACTGTTTGTTTCAGCAACCCAAAGAGAGGATTTCTATTTTTTATTTTCTGAGTTTATCCGTCCAAGAGTTCTGCTTCAGCACAAAGCCCAGGCGACAAGACAGGTAATTGTTCTGCGGTGTTGAAAGGTTAGAACGGGGTGTGAGACTGAGACGTGCAAACTGCAGCTGGAAATCTGAAAAAGCAGCAGGGATGCAAGTMAAGACAGTTCAGTGTGAACCCCAGGAGAAGTCCAGAGTCCCGACACCGACAGTTTAATCTACCAAACAGACAGCAGAGCCGAAAGCCAACACCTACACCCTGTCACGTAGGAAGTTAGAAAAGGCAGCTTTTACAAAACGAATTTTATTTCAAACCTGTTGGGAAGCTGTCTTTTTATACGTCTGCACACGCAACTAAACGGAAAAATGTAAATAAAATCCGCTGACCGATAACAAGAAGAGCGACGCTGGCAGCTCTGAGAGGCTGGAGTTGCTGTGAGATAATCATCGGCACAGGAATAAAAAGTACAAACTGCTTTTGCTGAAATAAAATTTCAGCTTTGCATTATGCACCACTAGAAAAAAATCATATTTTCATCAGCTGGACCAAAACAAATTTGTYAGTTTAAGAGAATCTTCATGAAATTGAGAGAAATAACAAAAACACATGTAAACTGAAATATTATCAAAATTACAAGCTTTGCTTGATTMCTAATTAATCAATTTACATACCTCTGAGCTGTAATAAACTAAAATGACCTGACGTCCACCTAATTTTTAGAACATGTCTGAACTTAGACATGATTTTTAATATCATCTGGTGTAGCAACATATTAGTATATTTATAATATAGTACATTTGTAAAATAGCCTTAAAATAGTTTCATATTTGCAGCAGCTCTGTTAACTGTTATTTATGCTGCTTTTTAATTAAATTTTCAAACAAAAAGATGTATTTATTTGTCAGATTGAAAACAAGGGAAAAAAAAGGTAAAAACTTCTATTTGCTTGTTCTGTCCAACCAGAAGTCTGGAGCTCAATAACGTTCATCCACTAAAACGATGGAAATGTTTGTCATTGTAGCAACAAAACAGCCAGACTCCAACAGGAATAATAAAAAGCGAACATYATTGAGGACTGAAGTCAGTTCTCATTATTTTAGTCGTGACTGAGGAGACACAGAGGGAGGAAACGGACAGCAGAGCTGCAATAAAAAAAAATTAGAGGACAAACGATCCCAGTGGTCTGACTCTTCTGCCACAGTTTTAACAGAGGACTACGACTGCTCACTCCTCAGTAACACATTTTAAAAAAAAATCTTCAATCCAAAATGTCCTGATGCATCTCATTAATCCAGGTAAAAAATCAAAAAGAAAAAAATTGTATAGGTATTCTGTACGGGTTCTTCTCTAATGAAATGTTTCGTCTCTYCTCCAAGAGACTTCTTCAGTCTGAGAGTTTCAGGCAAAATTCAGGCTTTTAAGCMCTGCCTCCATGTGACTGATACTCACATCACATGGCTATCGTTGACACCTAATTAACACTTATTGTTAACAAGGGGTGGAGTGATACTGGCAATGGCCGYRCTGTAGGAGGGGGACAACTGAAAACGGAGGCCTCCACCTCTGTTTAATGATGGACGGTCTTTCTTCACAAAAATGGCTTCTTTTACTCCTCTCTCAAACCAACGTTCCTCTCTATCAAGAATGAGAACATCCTCATCTCTGAAAGAGTGACCGCTGGCCTGTAAATGAGTGAAAACTGCAGAGTTCTGGCCATTAGATGTAGCTCGTCTGTGTTGGGACATTCTTTTGAACAGTGGCTGCTTTGTTTCCCCGATGTATAACTGGTCGCAGTCTCCTGGCACTTCACAGCATATACATCATTGCTCTGTTTGTGCCGGGGCACCGGATCTTTGGGGTGAACCAGCCTTTGCCGTAATGTGTTTTGGGGTTTGAAAGCTACTGGGACATCATGTTTAGAAAATAAACGTCTCAGTTTCTCCGAAACACCCGCAACATACGGAATAAGCACTGGTTTGGGTCTGGGTTTGGGGTCTTCATTTTCACCTGAAGGTTGCATGGAGTCCTGTTTGTGTTTCCTGTCTGCTTTCAGGAAAGCCCAGTCAGGATAACCMCACTGCTCCAGGGCCTGTTGTGTGACACACACGACAGGTTTTCACTCATTTACAGGCCAGCGGTCACTCTTTCAGAGATGAGGATGTTCTCATTCTTGATAGAGAGGAACGTTGGTTTGAGAGAGGAGTAAAAGAAGCCATTTTTGTGAAGAAAGACTGTCCATCATTAAACAGAGGTGGAGGCCTCCGTTTTCAGTTGTCCCTCTCCTACAGCGCGGCCATTGCCAGTATCACTCCACCCCGTTAACAATAAGTGTTAATTAGGTGTCAACGATAGACATGTGACGTGAGTATCAGTCACATGGAGGCAGGGCTTAAAAGCCTGAATTTTGCCTGAAACTCTCAGACTGAAGAAGTCTCTTGGAGGAGAGACGAAACGTTTCATTAGAGAAGAACCCGTCCAGAAGACCTATACAATTTTTTTCTTTTTTTCTTCAATCCAAAACGGGGCACGACCTGTAATTCAGTCTCTTAGTGATCAGCGGTTTCTGAAGAAGGTGATTTTTAGTCCTGCTGTTCCTGCAGCTGCAATCACCTAAAAGTTTCCTGCTCTGCTCGAGCCATTTGTCCTTGAGTCTTTCTCAATGATCCTTTTTTACCTTGAATAGCATAACAGTCAAGTATGTGGTGATAAAAAAAAACCTAAATCCATGGAAAAAAAAGCAGAGATATCATCACAGTGTCAGGTGCCAGAGCAGGAGTGCTCGACTGATGGGAGGCATGGTGCAAGCGTTTAATGGAAAGTGTGCTAAAAGTCACAGATTTCAAACTCCTCAAGTTTGATTAATTTGCAAATTTTATTGGCCTTTTGTCTTTTAAAATATGTCTGACAAATACCACATTAAATGCAGGTGTGTTTTGAGGATTTCTGGTTTTCCTCACTTTTACTCGAGACACAAACCCTGATTTTTATAAATAATGTCACTTTCTAGGTGAACGTTACCCCCTAAATATGCTGCATGTCTGTTAATCCAACAGATTAATAATCAAAAGGAATGAAAACCTCGAACCACAAAGCAAACAGGAAAATAAAGACCTACCCTGGTTGTCTCTGAGATGCAGTGCGATCTTTGTATCATCTGTTAGGAGACAAAGAGACACAAGAAACCATAAAAGTCAGAAGGCCAATCATCAGCATATCTCTTTGTAGTGAGGTTGTTTTTAAAATGTTTGCAGTATGACCTCCCCATGAAGGTCCCCAACGAGATTAAGCCACCTTCATTAACGAACCATCTTCCCCCACTGCAMCTATTAAAAATGAATGCCTTGAATATAATGGCAAGGCATCAATAATTCAGCACACAGAATCAGTCTGGGGTTAAACATATATGTGAAATATGGAAATGTAGCGTGACCCACTTCTCTTTTAAGGAGCGCAGACGTTTACACACCATACCACTCACATTATGCTAATCTGATGCATTTACCACCAGATATATTTCCCTAAATAGTTAAATAAAAAAAGACTTTTTATTTTTAAAATGAGAGTATGAAGCTATGCTTAAGTCTTTATAATGAGTCATTAGAGAAATTGAATTGTGAGTGGCAACAGTTAATTTATTCTGAGGGAAAATAATGAATTTAGATTATTTTCTTAGCTGGAGGAATGAAAGCCACAAGTGGATTGTTGTTTGTCCCAGAGTCGGCTCAACGTGTCGACTTGTTTCTGTCGGAGAGGCACAATTTTATTTTTATTTCTCGCCTAATAATCTGTGGTTTTGCATGCTAGGTTCATATCAGCTTGATAGTGGTCAAAGCTCTCACTCATTTTGTTGAAAAGGACTTTTAATGAATCAAAAATCCAATTTTACAGTAAAAAAAAGGTTCTATATCTGAACATAGAAAACACATGGCAATATATTTTAACATCTTCGTAAAAACAAATTGTTTAAGAGTTTATCTTTGATCCAATTCTTTTATTATGATGCCTAAAATAACATTTTTGTCTTAGATTTTTAGTAAAACAAAGATGGATTTTAAAACTGTTTTTTTTTCCAGACTTGAATTTATTTCTTAGTTTTGAGGTCATTTTACCTGCATGTACAAATAGTTACTGTAGTTTGATTTAAGATGTTTTAATTTCTTTTATGTGTTTTGTTTTAGTTATATAGTTATAATTTTCTGATAAGGCTTTTATTATGAATGTGAATTCTGTGTGTTTTATTGACTGTGACTGTACAGCACTTTGTTCCCATGGTTGTTTAAATGCTTTATAAATAAAGTTGGTATGATATTTAATTATCTTACTTTGGTCTACAGTGCTTTAACTGTTTTTCACACACAAATGTATACAAATGCCCATTGGTAGCAACACTGGGTTCACTGTCTTGTTAAAAGACGTGGACATCTGGATGAACCACGGACTGGATTATAAAGCTCGTCATTAGTTGGAGACCTGATCCATCAGCTGACGAACAGCCACCTGCATCTTATATGACCTTTATTCACACAGGTTGTCTCACTGAGATCCAAGATCTCATTTACTGTACTTACCAAAAACAAAATATATAATATCAAGAAACTGACATTAATGTTTCATTTCACTCCTGAGAGCATTTGAAGGTGAACAGAYGCAATCTCTAACCTAGAAACACACCTCCTCCCACACACGCCTTTCTTTTTCGTTTCCCTAATAAACATTCACCCATTCGCAGGTTGCCAGCAGGATCCACCCAGCCTGCACCCTAACCTGACCTTTGACCCCTGCAGCTGAAGAGACTCTGCTGTCAGAGACTTAACGGTCCAACATACCACAGGTTAACCTCCTAACCTGCCACATCGTAACACACACAGAGACAGAGTCACGGAGCACACACACGTCCTCCTCAGACAGTCCTGCTTACTCCACGCCCTGTTTGAGTTTGGACCGCAGGACTCCTCGTTGTGTTTTCCTTCCCAGCTGGACGGCTTTCACACAGCAGCCCATCGACCACCCCAACTGTGACAAGCTGTCCGTTAAAACTTCCTCAAACATGATGATTAATGAGGCTACAACGGAGCAGAGGTTGGCTTTAGCATGAAATGAAAACAAACATCTTTTGTAAAGAATAGCATAGAAATAGAATAGCATAGAAATAGAATAGCATAGAAATAGAATAGAATAGAAATAGCCTTTATTGTCCCGCAGAGGGGAAATTCAGGTGTCACAGCTGCATCAGTACAGAGGTTCACACCATTGATCTATATTACTGGATTGGWCATCCCCTATAGCCRCTATAGCTAGCGACGCGCCGTCACAGGAGCCATTGMTTTGCATTGARTCATGTCAAAATGGTAGCATTTCAATGCGGGATGCGCGTCAATCTGTCACAAAAATATTCATAGCACCCTCATTTCTTATCCGATTTCTATAAAACATGGCTTAAATTAAAGCTGAGAAAATTGCCGATGTTGAGAAATGTAAAAAAATATTTATTTGCTCAAGAGATGAATCTGTAAGCAGTCTGGGAACTTTTCATTATAAGTTTTTGCTAACGTATTTACAGTAGAAGGCCCTTTCTGTCACATAAAACTAAGAGCCATGTGTGGCGTATATATATCTAATTCTAATTTTGCATTTGTTTCCTGGTTCTTCACTCACTCTGAAGTGACTAAAGACAAATTCCTCCAGCTGGTCAAAATAAAAGCGGTCGGCCCCTCCACCACTTAGCTTATGAAATGTACGGTGGAGGAAAAAAGTTACGGAGTTTTTTTACTCTGATACATAATCACAAACTACAGGATATACCATATGCTGACTGGACAGAACATCAGTACCAGTAATATCTACACAGTTCAGCCTAGTAGTAGTAAATGTAATTTTACTGTTGTCCATTTTATTTACCTCTCACAATATTATCCTAATATAATAACAATATTAATAAAAAATATAATAATTTGTTGRAACAGCGAATTTGTCTTTTCGTTGGTTTACCCGACATAAGGTTTTCAAAATCAAGCTAGCATAAATGACCTACTTTCCACATCTCCAACATTTTCAAAATAAAAAATATATATTTTAATGACCTGTAAAATGTGATAA